GCCGCCGCCGCCCCGTCATGTCCGAGGCGGGCCAGGAGCTTGTCCGCCTGGTGTGGGGCGAGAAGGCCGGGCCCCGCGGGCTGGCCGACACCATCTTCTGCCGCTGGGCGCAAGGTACTTGCGTGCGCCGTGCCCCGCTCCCCACACGGCCCTTCCCCGGGGGACGGGGGGGCCTTCCCCGGCCCGCCTCGCCCTCCTGGGCCCACCCGCCCGCACACCCCCGGGCTCGGCGGCGCCTGTCCGCCGCTGCCCCGCTGTCGGTGAGGGGAGGGCGGCAGGGCCCGGGGCGGCGGCAGTTGCTGGCCATCGTCTGCCCCTGTCACCGGCAGCCCGGCCCGCGGGGAAAGTGATGCAGCAGTTTCACTCGCTAAATAACATCTTTTTTTTTCAGCTCGGTCATCTCCTGCCTCAAATTTTCAAAGGAACTTATAAGGGGTAGGGAAGGAAATGTGTTTCTTAAATGTATTTCCACAGCATCTTATGCCATTCTTTTCCGTAGCTCATGGAAACACCAACATAAGTTGCCAGGGTTTGTTTTTTTTTTTTTTTTTTTTAAAGATGGGAGTCACAAATAGACTTCGCAAAAGTGGGGACAGGCTTGGGACAGAGACCTACAGATATTTATTTTTTTTAAGCTATTTCTCTGGTGATTGAAACAGGTGCGTACCATCTTTAGGATGTGGCAAGAGGTAAAAGCAGCAATAATCACAGACCCTGCAGTATTTGTAAGATGTTTTTTTTCCGTTTTTAAATTATGCAACCTACACATAGTTTCTTCTTGTTGGAGACTTTCAGGTATTCTTTCAAAACTGCAATTGCAAGCTGTAGTACAGAGACTTGCTGATAAAAATGATAGGCAAGAAATCAGTCTGTGTACCTGTCCTGGCTGAGAGAAGGCAATAATAGCCTTCTCTGTAGTTTACTATGGGCTTTGAAGAGTTCTAGTAATGATTAGGAAAATCATAATGAAAGCATCTTTAATTCCTGGAGAAGGTTCACAAATGATAGTGGAATTTATAGATTTAAAAAGAAAACAAACAACTTTCGTGCCTTCAGGTCCTGCAGTAAAGTTCACTGAAACAAAAGGATGTTCTTAGTATTCTTTGTCCCTTGTTCTTCTTCTTTTTGTCTTTTTTTTTTAACAGGTGTTTTGTCATCTGTATAGTTGAGTAGATGCACGTGTGGTGTTGATTTGGGAGCTGCACAGCTTCTTCCCCATCACAGGACACCGTGCATTATCAGGCTCTTGTATCTTTTTCCCTAGGTTAATCTGTGTTCAGGTAATTCAGTGAGAAATATTTGGGGGGAAAAAAAAAGACAAATTCCTTCCAAGTTCTAGAATTTAAGCAGCCCTGGTAAAGCCAGTACTTTCCCTAGTGAATTGATTCTTTTTGTGGAAGTATCGTTACTTTGAAATATATCTTCAGTTTTAGTAGAGTGTTGCTGTTTCTGTACAAGGTTTTTGCAAATCAGAAAAGAAGAATTGGTGTTAAAAAGCTGAATCATTTCTTTATTGGTAATGTTAGATGACCTAAATTGACATTTTCAAGATTGTTTGTATATGAAATTTTGCAATTTAAGAATTTATTGAAATATATGTTCTAATGCCCCACACTTGTGATCCTGTGAAAGAGTAATAGAAAAGGCCTCTCATGTTCTTGGTGGCTCCTGGAAAGGAGCTGTTATTTCCTGTCTGTCTTTAGGGAAAGTCCTGTAACTGTACTGCCTAGGGTATCTGTTCCCTTCTCTGTATCCTCTTTAATATCAACATGTAACAATAACTTAGTGTGTTGTTTGAAAGTCTTGTGTGAGAGTCAAAAAAGCCTGTTCCAGTCCCTTATGTTGGGTAGCACCACAATACATTTACCTAGTTTTCAGTTTCTATTTTGTTTAGAGAGTTCTGCTTCATTTACCTACTACAAAGGACTCTTGTCAACACTGATTCATCAAGATTTAAAAAAAAAAAAAGCAAAAACGAACATAATAATCAAACTTAATTATTTCAAATACTTCAAAGTTTAAAAGCGAAAAAAAAGCAAAACCAAACATAATAATCAAACTCAATTATTTCAAATACTTCAAAGTTTAAAAGCTAGGCCCTTGTTTCACATCGTATGTGCAGAGAATATCAAAGAAGTATAAATGATGCTGGCTTTAACAACTGGTTTGGTGGTGGGTTCTTCTTGTGGCTTGGTGTAGTTTTTTAGAGTGTGGTGGTCACACTGGTATTTATTTCAGATACCGTCTGAATGTTGTCTGAGCCTTTCTCAAACTCTTGGGAAGTTGAGAACTGTAATTTGCATGTAGGGAGAGTGTTGAGGAACACGGGGCTCGTACCAGTCAGTTTCTCAGTAAAGATAGCGACGTTCAGGGAATCCTCTCCGGGCGTGGAACTTGTTAGGCCTCATGTTTGTTCGGTCAAACCTGGAGACAGCCTGATCTGTGGGCAGTTGGCAGAGCTGGCCTTGCTAACGCGGGTGTGCTGGTTGAAGTTAGTGATGGTAATTCCCTCAGTTTGCTGCATTGGCAGCTTTAAATATATTGGTTTGATTCCTGACTTAACAAAGGCCTCACTGCAAAGCTGTCGCAGTTTGATTGGAGATGTTTGTGGTGTGTTGTTTTTTTTTTTTTTAATAGAATTTTTTTTCTTTATGGTTGCAGCAGAATTTGCAGTTTGAACTTTGCGTATCCCATTTGCCAGCATCTCCAAAGTGGGCCCAGAGGAATGTAGTGCAGAGGCTCCGTCCGCGTGTCAGTGTTTCCTGGCATAGATATGATGACTTGGGAAGGAGTTAGGAGGGGGACTGAACCCTAAAGAAGCATTCCAATGTTAGGAGTGATTTTCTTCATTGATCCAAGCGGCAAAAGCCACTCTTCAAATCATCCCTGAGGCATGTGGCATCAGGTCTACACAGCTATGAATGTCTGGCAGGTTTGAGGGCAGCATCCTTTCAGAATTACCTAAGCTGTTTTCTCACTGGTCTTTGGAACGGAAGATATGGGAGAGTCTTTTTGAATGACTATTTAGTTTCAAAAGAATAGCGTGAAGGTATTAATACTACAGTTTGTAGGTATGCATGCATAACATTAAAAGGTCTCCTTCAGCTGTATCCTCTTCCAGCTTGAGAGCTGATGGGGTATATTGACAACTTTCCTTTTCTTTCCCCCCCATTCTTTCCAGGTTTCCCTTTTTTACATGCCTGGAACTCTGTTTCTGGTCTAGTACGTTGAAGCATCACCAGATTGGCTTTTAGGAGCCTATAGTATTGGTTTTAAGTCACGGGAACTATAGTATTGTTAGACCACGATCAAGTCAGGGTTACTAGGAAATAGAATTTTAACCAGAGGAGCAGATATGTTTTGAGCAAAAGGAGTACACTTGCCACTCTGCAAAGGCTTAAGTAGAAGTACCAGTTTGATGTAGTGTATTACTCAATGCAAAGAGTTTATCAGGAAGAAAAACAAAAAAGCATTTTTCATTTCATATTCACAGTTAGGGTATAGATAAGTGTGGATTGTGCAAACAGCTGGAGGACATGACACCTATTGGCCCACCTCTGCCTACCTGTTGCTGCTTGTCTGCTCTAAGTATTGCCTCTTAAATCTTTTGGTGGGACTGCTTCTGAAGCTTCTGCTTCACCAATGCCAGTCACTTGGAGCAAAGTAAACCTTGGTGAGTGCTCTTCAAGTGACGGTCTGTGGACTGCTTTTAAGGCATCTGTAAAAATTAAGAAGTTAGAAGCTAGGCCTGCAGCCAGGAATTCGCACATCATGTGGAAAAATTACTAGGGCCTTCAAACAAAAAGTGCTGATGATTACTGACTTAGAGCTTCTAAGTAGAAGATGCTGCTTCAGTTTAAGTAGATATTGCTAATTCTGCCAGGAGGAAGTGCTCTTTCTTGCTAACGCAAGCCATGCTACTGTTAAATGTGAGACAACAGTAGGTTTTGGAAAAACAGTAGGGACGTGCTGCTGGGAAGAGCTACCTAACACCCTGCTCTAGGGAAGAATATCTCTTCTCAATTTTATGCTGGTGGACTTTCTTCTTTTTTCCTCTCTTGGAGTGGCATACTGGTTTCGGGATAGTGATACTGATTTTATGGACAAAATAACCACATCTTGCTATTTCATACAGACCGGTAAATCTCTTTCTGTTGTATATGAGATTTAAATGCTTAATTCATGTACTCCTGTAATGCAGAGTTGTCTTAAAAGAATTAATTCATTCTGAAGAATGCAAAATCTCTTGTGAAGCTTGCTGATTGAGAAGTTAGGCTCTAAGTCAGAAATACAGCTTTTGGAGGCACTGTCTGTGTCGTTATGTGTAAGTAACAGCCCTTTCAGCACTGTTAAACTGGAAGGAGGATAGAAAATGCCATTCACTGTGAAAAAATGGGATGTGCATGTGCACATTAAGTTGTTAAAATATTGTATTTTTTGGCTAATGGGCATGGTGGCTAATGTGGTTGGAATACACATAGAGCAGTAAGAAATTGAAATGCCCTGTAATGTAATTATCTTCCGTAATTAGTCAACCCTAAGCCTCTTAGCTGCTGCCTGCATCCAAAAAGGAATATCTGAAAAGATACTGTCCTTACTTGAAGAAAGGGTATGGTACTAGTGAGTCCGTTCTTTAAGCCTCTCAGCCTTCCCCAGAGTAAAGAAGATGAAAGGTCCTGAGGAGTGCTCAACAGAAGGCTCTTACCAGGGTGCAGATTCAGAAGTTTCAGTCAAAATTCAGCTATTTCACAGAGCTGTTTTGTTTTACAAAGGTGTGAAAAAAGGCGTTTTACCTTGTTTTCTGGCAGCTTGCTGCCCAATTTAGTGGTAGCCTACCAGGTAATTTGGGTACTTTCCTCAAACCATTCCAGGACTTCCTAGCTCTTTATCCACAACCCATTAAGTGGACTTTTTTTTTTTTTGTGGTGGTGTTGTAGTAAACGCCCCTTTCTTTTTGTGTCTGGGAAACAGTTGTCTTGTTTGGTTGGTTTTTTCTATAGAAAATTTCAGAAGTTTAATTTTACTGTAAAAATACACTTTGAAAACCCAAAGCCATATGCAAAATGTGTCCATCATTCTACACCCAGCTCTAGAGAAGGGATGGAACATTAAGACACGTTGTAAACCTTGTACTTGAGTAGTAATGGATTATTCTAGTGTTTTTATCAGGCAGTTCTTGTATCCTGAAAACGAAATACTGTTCCACGGTGAGAGGCTGGCTCGGCAGAAAAGAGGACAAAAAATGAATAGCACAGCATCTCTGTAGTTAGATTGGATCAGAGATACAGCAAGTTTGGTTTGGTTTTTGGTGTGGTTTTTTTAACGTGGTTAATGTTGCACACTCTTTAGCTACTCCCCTTGTCTCTTTCATTCAGCTAGAACTGGTTCTTGCACAGAGTGAAAATGCTGAAGGTATACAGCATCCTTTGTGAAATGACAGCGGTACTAATGTCTAGAGTGTCTTGGGTGTAAAAAAAGGTATTTTTTAGAAATAAGCGAATAATAAAAAGATGCAGGAAAGCAATCGGGTGGTTGTAGGAGAAGAATGAATCATTTTGTAGTACTTTGGATCATGATGTGGAGTATTAGATGAAAGACAAGAGTAGGTAACTAAGTCATACGCTCATTTTGGCAAAATATTTGTAGAAGACATAAGAATTAGGTGGAAGGAAAAATAGTCGGTCAAGATAAATGCTAAGTTTTGGGGAAATGAGAAGAATAAAAATTTGTTTTGTGTGATTGATAGTAGGCAAAGATATAAAGACAGATTTGGGAATATCATAGTCACTGTAACTGAAAATATTAAGCAATACACTGATTAACAACAAGAATCTAGATCAACTCCCCCACCTGACAGAGAGGTTAAAGCAGTAGAGCAATAGTGATATTGAAAAAATTGGGTCAATGGAGCATTTAATAAGGTTATTAATGACACGGAAGATGAATGATAGTTGTACTTTTTTTATGTTTCTTATAGGCAAAGAATGATAATTACACTGATGGATAAAAGGTGGGCAGAGTTAAAAAAAGAAATATTGTTTTGGTTACATTACATCCATTTTGCTCCTTAAATTTTATCTTGGGTGAAAAGAGCTGTATGATAAATATGACTGGTTAAGAGTGAGCGTAAGGAGAAATTAGTCTGGATCAGAGATGCTGAGTTGGTAGCTTAGAGGCTACCAGGCTGGCCAGGTCAGTCCTACAAATAATAAGTGAGAGTGTGGGGTTTATGGGTGTTTACAGGGATTGCCCAAGATAGGATTATTGGGAAGGGCAAAAAAAGTAAGTACATGCAATTGCAGACTGATGTAGACTTGACCCCAGCTGGACTTCAGATTGCTGTTTTATGAATTTTTACCTGAACTGACTTCAGATTTTGTAGAAGTTCTAAAAGAGAGCAAGACTAAAATCCCTGAAGCCCATTTTTTTGTTTAACGTATTTTAGAACCTTGATGTTTATTAAGCATTAGACAGCATTTAGGTAAAAGAAATTAAGTGTTTTATTAGGTATTATATATGGTTTTTTCCCTATCGTCGTATTTGTCAAATTCTGTGTAATACCAATTTTGCATTGTCTGTCTCAAATTTATATTCACTTTGGTGGATCACACTCGATTTTTCTTTATTTTTAGGAAGCACTTTTGAAAAGCAGGGCAGGGTTAAGCTGAGACAGTTCATGCTTTCTATAAGAAGCCTGAAGAATGTGAAACAAATTCAAGATTTCTTAAGTGTGGTTTAATGGTACCACATCCAAGTATGTTGTTTTTCTGCAGTGGCTAAATCATTAAAACAACTAAAAAAACCTATTGTTGCAGTGTGCTTAGATGGCATGCGGTAATGCTTCAAACTAGAGGAAGACTTACCTTTGGATATGGCTAAGCTGCACAAACTAATTGGGAAAGTTTAAAGGACTGGGGATATTTCTTATTAGGGCATGTTAACAGGGGAGTGAAACGACACTAAGTGCAGACTCTGGTTGAAGAATGGATTAATGGAGCTTTGCTGCTGCTTTAGGGGGTGCTGGATCTAAGTATGTAGGCATGATGTGTGTCTGGGTTTTGGATAGAAAATACATCTTTGTAGCACACGTTTTCACATTCAGGTAAAAAACCGGCCCTGGAGCCTTGCTGTCAAATACAGGGGAAACTCCTTTTCTTTTTTTTTTTTTAAGAACTGTGGCTACATTGATCCATCTTAAAAAAAAAAATAAAATACATTCACATTGTTGTTGAACTACTCTAATTTCTGTGATGAAATATGGCCTAGAAAACATGCAGTAGCCTCTCCTGTGCTGCTTCTATTCACATAGAGGGGTTAGGGATGCCTCTGATATGGCAGAATGTAATGATATGGAGTTGGGAAAGGGAGAAACAGTGGGAAAGAAACGTTGAATATTGTTTCCACTGGGACTGACACTGCTGAGAAAATACGCATGTGTACCCGCTTTCCCCTTGCCCCCACTTGCTTCTGCTTGCTCGTTAGTGGCTGGTCACAGTTGCATGATTTCTAGATATTTTTTTTATTTTTTTTAAGAACTGTGGCTACATTGATCCATCTTAAAAAAAAAAATAAAATACATTCACATTGTTGTTGAACTACTCTAATTTCTGTGATGAAATATGGCCTAGAAAACATGCAGTAGCCTCTCCTGTGCTGCTTCTATTCACATAGAGGGGTTAGGGATGCCTCTGATATGGCAGAATGTAATGATATGGAGTTGGGAAAGGGAGAAACAGTGGGAAAGAAACGTTGAATATTGTTTCCACTGGGACTGACACTGCTGAGAAAATACGCATGTGTACCCGCTTTCCCCTTGCCCCCACTTGCTTCTGCTTGCTCGTTAGTGGCTGGTCACAGTTGCATGATTTCTAGCTTACATTGAACAAGAGTCACTTCAGCATAATCTTATCAGCACGTAAAAGAATAATGCAAAATATTCACTGCGAGTGAGTTGCAAAGTGTCATAATTCTCCACGTGTATGCATTTTTCCATCAGAACTGCAGGCTATGAATCAGATATCTTGAAGACAAGTTTAAGGGCAAGGTGGTAACAAAAAATTTAGCAGTGATTGCTCCACTGTTTATAATGTGATTGTAAGATAATTCTGAATACAAATACATTAAAGATAGAGGGGGAAAAGAGGCGATCTTGCATCTTAGTAAATACAGTGTATCTTCTGTAAAAGAGCACCATGAAGAGGCTTGCTGCACTGGTTACAAGTGAGTATTTGAGTTACTCAGCCAGTTTCAGTCTTAATAGGAAGTACTGACAGGCCAAAAATGAGGTCAATAGGAGGCATACTGTACCCTTCCTAGGGAATAGAAATGTATTATGCATGGTGAAGGTCCAAAGATGATTAGTATTTTTACATGTGAGTCAAAATGTTATTGCTTAGAAATTTTTATTGATTTATAAGAAATAAACCATAATAAAATAAAAACTATGATACAAGTATCCAGCCATATGTGCCCTAGTGTCAGTTTTACTGTTAAAAATCCTTCTGTTTTTTTAAAACCCGAGCTCTTAGCCCCTTGTGGTCATGATTTCATTGCTGAGATAAATAATTCATTTCTGTGCTTTCACCTATATTAATGACTTATTTGCTTCAGATAGTTTAACTGCATTCTGTTGCATGATCGGGGGAAAAAAGTCTTGAAAACCTATCTTATCTTCAAAGGGGAATAAATCAAGTATCATTTCTGTTAGGGAAGGAGTACACAGAAAGATGTGCTTGTTTACATATTTCACTAAATGTAGCCTTTTTTTCATGTGACAGGATTTGTCTTTAGTGAATCTGAATCAACTGCGTTAGAACAATTTGAAGGTGGCCCTTGTGCAGTGATTGCACCTGTACAGGTAAGATACATTTATTATAGGAATAATTTAAAATTAATAAGCCCAAAATTTCTTCTTTTGTCTATATATGTGGAACTAAAATAAGTACGGAAAATATTGCAGATCACTTGTCTTTTGATTTCATAATTATAGTTTGGAGGAGACAAGAAACTCAGTAAAAAAGGCAGAGATAGGTTGATTTTGAACTATAATTTTGCAGAAGTGAATTTGTTTGAGGAAGTGCAGCAGGTTGATCCAAGCAGAGGTGACATTAAAGTGAGGAATGTGGGGTAAAAGGGAGACATACACAATCAGATATAAATGTAATCCTAATTATTTTTTTTCTCTCTCAAATTTCCTGCCTTTAGGAGGGGTGATATCTGTGTCACGATGGCTGCTTTAGCAAACTGTATTAGAAATATTTGAAGTAATCTGTTTTCAAACCTAACAAGGTTTGCTATGTAAGAAAAGTAGAAATGTTATACTTTCAAAATTCTAGCTAGCAGAATAATTGAAGTATGTTGGGTGAATATATTTTATTCTGGATACTTGCTTAGGATTTCACTTGTGCTTCAGATACACTCAACCAACTCCGATTGTGGTGGGGTTTTTTTGGTTTCTTTATCTTGTAGGCTGTGTGCATACTCTTTGAAATGCTGTTTCTGGGGCAATTGTGATTACTGTGTAGATATATGACCTGTAGGTTGGATCCATTCTGCTAGAGTGGTTTGTCTAATCTCCAATTGCTCTTTGTTGTCTGAGGAGCTCCCTGTAGACACGGGCAGACCCCGGTGATGGGCCACGTTAGTTTTTCTGCTCACCTGCTTTTGACTCCTTACCCACAGATCAAACCCTGCAGTTATGTCTAGGACCGAGTTGTCCACTGACATATTAGAGTCATGTGGCAGAGTTAATCTGAACATGAACTGGAAGGTATCTAGGTCAGACAACTGACATTGGGGAGTTGTTTGCGTCTCTGGGGTGTGTGTGTAATGTGATAGTCATAAACCTCTGTTATGGTTATCTTCAGACACTCCAAATTCTAGTTTCACCAAAAGACTTGTACCATAGGAAGGAGCATCACTTGTTTAGGTTGTAAACAACCAATAGAAAAAAAAAAAATATTATGAATTGCACTCTGTAACATGGCTCTGTTTACTTCTGTGGTCTTAAAAACAAAATACAGAGTCTCTGGTCTCTGTTTGTCCTGGTTTGAGGTGTAGAAGTTGGTGTTGGCTTGCGTTTTAATATTATTTTATGCTTTGATAACAAAGGCATTCCTTTTGAAGAGGCTTTTTACCAGTGAAAAGTCAACTTGGAGACACTGTCCAGGTACTGAAACCTCTTTTTTTCCTCTTTGTTTTTTCCTTTTTAATTATTTGCAAAGCATGTCCTCGTACAAAGAATTTTAAATATTTTACACTTTCTTTTTAAGTGTGCTCCCATGCTGTTTTATAAGGCATACAGTATGTACACTGCATGTCTCTAAACTCTCATTTGACTGCCTGTAGTACTTGTGTGTTTTATAAATGTTTGATTGGAATCTGTTACTAGGAAAGGAATGGATTAGAGATCATATTAAAATACATTTTTCTTAAGACAACTTTATAATTCTGTGGTCCGGTATAGTCAAACAGCAATTAACATTAATAATTAATAAGATGAAAGTAATAAACTCAATTATTTAGATAAAATTAATGTATAAGAAAGATACTAGTAGCTTATATAAGATACTGATTAGCAGCAATTGAACTCATGTAGGTTTCTGATATTTCAGAAGAGGAGCAGAAGAACCTTCTCTGTCATACATTATGTGATATTTTGGAAATGGCTTGCTCTGATAATTCTGAGTCATACTCTCTGGCAACATGGATAAGAGGAAAAACAACTGAAGAAACTGCTAGTATTTCTGACAGTCCTGCAGAATCTAGTCATCAGGAGGAACATCCATGTAAGATGTTATTTCTGTTCTGAATTACCTGTCATGTAGTGAAGTATTATGTCATTTTTGAGAGGCCGTGCTTTTTATTATTGTACACAGGTGGGGGTTTTGCCTTTGTGATTCCATTAGCAACAGACAGATTTTTTTTCTTTGTAATTAGTCATTGATTCTTTTTGTCAAAAGGAATGTGCAGTCTATCACTGGAGTTCTACCAGATATGCTTCTCTTGAATTTGAGCAATTTCTTTTTAATTTTATTTTGTAATTTATTGGGAACTGATGTGTCTCTAGTTTGGAAAATTCTAGACGCTTCCTAATACTGGAGGAATATTTTAACTTGTCACTTTTTGCTTTACTTCAGAAGAGCTCTTGTAGGAAATTTTGCAACACTTCATCTGTTCTAAAATATTCTGGATCCCCTGTTATAGAGAAGTAGCCTTTTTCCCTTTGATTCTATGCAGTACCAAAACAGTTTCATTAAATCACCTTATAGCAGACTAATGGAAGGTTTTGTAGGATAGAATTTTTCAGTTTCCTACTTTTTGCAAATGTCTTGATTCCTTCATTAGTTACTAACATCAAGGATCTGGTGAACATCATTTGTTGCACTGAAATACAGCATCCAGTTATATCTAGCAACTGTGGAGCTAGTGAGAAGGACATTTTATCTGTGCGCACGTGATCATCGAGATGTGTATTTATTATTTCATAGAAGATATCTAACGTGGTAAAAGATAAGCTTCTTTTTCTTTTAGTTTTTGTTCCCAATGTGTCCCTTAAGAAGTATGAAAAACTCTTCATATGAGAACATGCTTATAAAGGTGCCATCTTTTGATGGAAGGAATGTGTTATTCGGCAGTTTGTGACATAACTACAAAGTAAGAATTGTACCAGTAGATCCGTACGTGCGCAGCTAGCTATAGCAATTAGTAGTGCTGGAGCTCTGGATGTTACAAGTCATCTTCATCTGCTTCTGTCAAATGCTCCATGTGCTTTAGAAGGCTGAAACAATAATAATTAAAATGTTACTTGATTGAAAAAACAGAAAGTCACTACGTAAGAGTTCCAAAGTGAGCTTTTTTCTGATTAAAAAAAAAAGTCGTATCTACAACTGTTGAAAAAAAATCTGCTTTTTTTCAACATCTATTGAAAAAAAAAAATCTAAAATCTTCAGTTGTAACTCTGAAATTCCTAGTTTCTGTAGATTTTTCCAGTTGTCTCTGAAGCTCTTGCTCATATTATGCAGTTTCCTTTGAAGAAAAAGTGAAGTAGAACCTAGTTATCAGTAGGCTTTTACTGTCCTGTTTATTAGTATATTGCCTTATTCTAAAGAACTTTTAACTGTAGAAACTGTTTAGCAGAAAGTCTGTTTCAGCACACACTTGAGTAGTAATTGCTCTCAGCACTGACGCTTAATGAACTAATCCTTCTATTACATATCTATATTTTTTATATTTCTGTGCAAGTCTCCAAGTTGTGCCTGACTTGTCCTTAATACCAGGGAACGTGCTTGAGAAGAGCAGGAGACGTTTACCGTGAACAGTCTGCTTTTGTCATGAGCAAACTTAATCTCTTTCACTGTTCCTATTCCACACTGCCTGCTAAGACACTGAATGTACCTCTTGTATGTACTCTACAGTTAAAACAGTATTTTACTTTATAATGCAATACATTCCCTGATTTAAGATCTGTTTGTTAGGGTGGGGTTTTTGCTTTCCTGTCCTGCTATTTTAACTGTAGACCAGCCTCTTGCCCTCTTAGGCTTGGGGCAAAGATGGGTGTTAATAATACAGAGTTCTGTTACTGCTGGTGCAAAGGAATACATCTATTTTTTGCTTGGTTGCTGTAATCAGTAAAAATAGAAACAGGCATTGTCATAGTTGGTAGGACTTAAGAGATAGTTTATGTGTGTGTGGGAGTATTACAGATACAATGCCACATGGCAAGCTACTGCTATTTGGGAATTGAATATGAGAATATATAATAAAACCATGAAATATGATTAAACGAAGCATGATAGAGTATAATTTTTTTAAAATTTTCTATATGATTGTATTTCTCATACAGCTTATGTTCTATTGCTGTTGGTTCTTTTCCTCTCCATTAAGCGCTGTCTTTATTTAACCTTGTTTGGGTTATTATGCAGAGCCACACTTCTCTTTAGTATTTCTACTTCTTTCCCTTTGATTCAAATAGTAGTTCTCTTACCATTTCACTCTGTTCTGTGGTAACAGAATGAAACTGCCTACCATCCTGCTGTGTGAACAAAAGGTGGATTTGAGCACACTTACTGAATGCAATTGCATTTTTCATCTGCTTTTGTGGTGTGCACCAGTGACTTGTTGTTGGCCATGCGTTGGCTGCAGTAGTGCAAGTTCCCAGGTTCAAAGGTTGCTTTATATGATTTAGTCCCTCTAACTCTCTCTGCTTCAAAAATACATGTTCTTGGAGCAGGGTTGGTTCCTCTAGCATTTATAAATTTTCTTATAAAACAATTTTTAATTAAGCAAAAATAGAAAAGAAAAAAAAAGCTATGTTTGTCAATTTTCTGCAATTTGGATGTATTGTTTCATCTTTTTCAAATGTATCTTAAAAAAAAGATTTTCTGAAGTCCAGTTTTATTCTTGGTAACCTAATTTTAGTGATTCCTTGTAGTTTTTCACAAGACGAAAGCATTCTTACAACTACTGCTGCCTTATTTCTGAAGTAGAAAATGAAAGTATTCTATTGCTGGAGAATTAGTTGTGTTTGCACGTAGGCAAAGTGCCTCTTTCAAAATACAATGAGAAAGGGCATTAAAAGCCCTTTCTGGAATTCTTGTGGGAAGAATTGATCAGTAGTATTACCCCTAATGGCTTCAGGGCTTTAACGAATTGTATGCAGTCAAGTTCATAGCTAGATGATCAGACGTTGTTTAAATATTCAGCATTAAGTGACCTTTATCAGAAAGCAGATCTTCTTTGTGTATTATTCCACTAGCAGGAAGACAAAGTCCTTATGGACATGGAGGGTGCTAAAGACTGCTACAGTCATAATGCTTGAATGTCTGTAGAATGTGGTTATTAACCGGCAAGTGTAACTTCCTCTTGGTAAAAGAAAATTCCATTTTAAAAGTCATTTGGAAATGTTGTGAGGGGAACAAAGGTATAAAGCCTGTGTTGAACTTGGGAAGACACTAATGCTGTATTTTTTTTCTGTCTTGGATGTGACACTTACTTGAAAGGCTATTTATCCATTATTAAAAGAAAACAATGAGAATTAATTTAAAAACAGGATATCTAATACTATGTAGAATATTTCTACTCATTAGTTTGTAATAAATAAGCATTGAAAGGGGAATAAAACCCCCAGTGTTTCAGTAACAGAAAGGTATATTTTCAGAAAAAATACAGCTTACCTACATTGACAAAATGATCCAAATAGTCATGCTTGCTTTTCTAGGAAATAATACCTGCAAAATTATCTATAGTATGCAAATGCTTGATGACTTTGTGACAGCCACGTTTTGTACAAAATTAACAGCTTGGTATTTGACAAATATTTTCAAGGCTACACACTCCAGTGGCTTTGTGCTTTGAATAAATTGATTAAACTGTTCTCACTAATTTGTATGGTGGAATCTTAATGTTGCGGTAAATTAGTTTATACTAATTAGTTAAAAAATTTAAATGTCAAGGGAGGATTAAAAATTAAAAATATAATTAAAGCTTAAAAGTATACTAGCTTGCTGTGTGTATCTTGTGTCATTTTTTTGCCATGTGTAGTGCTGAAAAGTGTCTCTTGTGTATAGCTGCCTTGGCTGTCGAAGAGCTTGGCTTTGAGCGATTTCATGCATTAATTCAGTAAGTAATATGTTGGAACATTTGAAATACAGTATTTTGAAGTTACACTAATATTCACAGCCCTGAAAGGGGTATGTTGAGGAACTTTGTGTGTGTTACACATCAGGTTAATCTTGGATTTCCAGTTTTGGTTTGGGGGGAGGGGGCTTCTTTGCATCTTACAGTTTAAAATGGAATATTATTTTAAGCATAAGCATTGGGGTTTAAAAAAAAACTGGAGCAATGTAATGTGTGAAATTGGCCAAATAACTGGTGCATTTCAAGTATATGAACACAGCTAATTAAGATTCACATTTACATTAAAGATGTTAATCCTAGATTTTTTTATACACAGTCTTCACGTGTGATTCTTATATACTTGTGACATATATGCTGAAAAATATTTCTCATTTAGTATGTCTTCTGATTTGGGACAATGTAGGAAACATTCATAAAAATATTTCATATACAAGACTGATTTCTGTTTCATACTTTAAACTTTTTTTTGGGGTGTAAATACAGCTCTAGTGAGTTTATCTTTAAAGGTGAAGGCCTTTTTTTTTCCACAGTGAACAATTGTGATCATTATACAGATAAATCCCCAAAGAGGAAATACAGAGCAATAGAATTTCAAAAAACACTTGAAATGGAAAATATTGCTAATTAGGACTGAAATAACTACTGCTTATTGTATCGGTAGTAACTATAATTTGTTCTTTAAACCCATATGAGGAAAGAAGAAAGGGGAAAATATAAAATTTTTTATAACCACATCTGATCAAAACCCTTATTTCCTGCCTTCCCTCTCACTCACACTCACTTGATCTTGGACTTGTGGTACCCACTTCAGTTTTTGTGGTACCTACTTCAGTTTTTCTCAGTCTTTCTCACTGGACCCCACTTCAGTTTTTCTCAGTCTTTCTCACTGGAAATGAACACTCTGGCACACGCCTTAATATTGAGCTGGGTGATGGATTTCAGAGCCGACTTTGCCTTGTGTGCCTCCTGATAATCAAAGGTAGTTTAAAAATCTCAAGTGTTAGCCAGAGTAAATCTATCTCTGGGTGTATTTTTGTAGATGTTTGTTTCTTTTTTAAACAAGACTTACTAAAAGTGTGCAAGAAATCAAAAAGAAAATAATACAGCTGAGTTTGTGTAAATAAGCAGAGGCTCTAATCTAGTTTGAATTTCTCAATAAAAACTAAAGTTTATGTTCCAAAAATGAATATTTAACTCTAAATATCCCAAGAAATAGAAAGTGATTACTTCACTGGAACCTTGATGGATCTCTACTATTCCTCTATTTTTATTTTACTTCTTTTCTTTTTAAACATATGATCATCTGGTGTGACCTTATCCAGGCGGCATCCCTGTTTAACATTTGGGAAATTATTTGGTTGTTTATGTATCAGTTGTGGATTTGAACATTTTGCTTTTTTCAAAGCTAGAGTCTAACAAAATCAAATTCCCATGGGAAATGTAATAAATAGTTCCAAAGCCTGAAAGATAGTCTTACCTGCTTAAGTGGAAGGGGTTTTTTTTCCACTGTTCATGGACTAAATGTCTTTCAGAACACTATAGAACACAAACATTATTTTGGTGACATACAATCCATTGTCAGTTTCAGTAACTGTTCTGTAGAATTACTGGTTCGAACTGCTCAGCTCTTTGCCATGAATATGTAACTTTATGGTTAGTGTTTGCACATAAAAACTATGTTCATTTTTGCACACTGCTCCAGAATTATTTCTCGTCTTCTGATGGGTAAATACTAATGACTCTATGGCAGTTACAGTAAGTCCAGAACAGCTGCTGTGTCATTTTGTATGTAACATCAGTTTTACTCTGCTTTTAATTGGACATTTTCTTGTTAGGTATTAATAATTGTTGTTTGTGCTTTGTAACACTTTTCTAATGTTTCATCTAAATACATTCTCCTTCTCTGTTGTTTTATTTTCTTTTGTCTTTAGCAAACGAGCATTCAAAAGCTTCCCTGAACTGAAGGATGCAGTTTGGGATCAATATTCAGTGTGGACAAACAGATTTGGAGTACTGCTCTTTCTGTATTCTGTAATCCTGACAAAGGTTTGTGGGTTGTTTGATATTTTTTGTGCCTGTGCTTGTTTCGTTTCTTTGTTAAGGGAAAGCTTGATCGTGTACCTCTTTTTCTGTGAAAGGTGAATGCTAAACTCAGCTGATAAACTAGGTCAAATCTAGGTAAATGGATAGAATGCCATCTTCATTCATGTTGCAGTACATCTCGAGAATAAAAACTTGAAAAGCTCAGACTTCTTTATTTATTTTTTTTTTCTTCCTCCTCCTCCTGATCTGGAGGAAATTACCAAGTTTGGAAATGTCCTTCCTTGTATATCTCTACCATCTCTTATCAAGAGAAAGAGGTGTATTTAGGTATCAATTCATGCAAGAGCATCAGCCTCCTGATATTTTACTATTGCATTCTATTGTCGTAAATGTTGCAATTCATTCCTTAAGAGAGTGAAAATGTTTGTAATTTTTCTGCAGGGTATTGAAAACATAAAAAATGAAATTGAAGATGCAACTGAGCCATTGATAGATCCTGTTTACGGTCATGGAAGGTAAGCTGCAAAATATGGTTGCTACCATTTAAAATAGATTAATGGGCTAATTTTTTATGTTCCTGTAACTGTTCATTCTTTTAGGAAATTAGTGACAGTACGACAAAGATTCAATTATAACTTTATAATAGCTAAAAGCAACACTTAACATAGCATGCCTTTTTCACGGCTTAATCTACTTAGTCCATAAGTCAGGAGGAAATGCTTCTGTTAGTGCTGAATTCGCAGAGGAATAATTCTCAAATTCAGGGATACATTTTTATGTTAGTTGCTGATTGATAGAGTGGAGATCATATTAACATTGCTGAATTACAAATATACGCTAATTAAAGGAATAGATATACTTAGAGAATGCCTGCTTAGCTGTCTGGGTAATACAATATTTTTCCATTTGTTAGAGATAAGCACTTTTCCAGAATTAAATTGTATATGCCTTCTAATAGGTGATTTCTTTCTGTTATATAGCCAAAGTTTGATTAACCTCCTGTTGACGGGGCATGCAGTTTCTAACGTGTGGGATGGAGACAGAGAATGTTCAGGAATGAGTAAGTTGACTGTAATTTATGCTTGTTCATCATTTTTATGTATTATGAGATGCTGGCCTACAGATTTGGAATATGCGCCATTTCTGTTTTGTTAGTATCCTTGTTTACTGTCCTTTGATTTAAGCAGACCTCAAATGGAAATAATACGTATTTGCACAAAATCTCTGATGTTAAAATCAGTGAATCCAGCTACAAGTTGAAATTATAAGCTACCTGATGACCTGGATGATGGAAGGGAGTGCAGTCTCTGCAAATTAGGAAGGTCGGTCAATACACTGGAGACAGGGCCACTATTTAGAGCAGGCACATCAGGCTAAAGAAATGGACTCACAGGAACCTCATGAATTTCACCAAAATTCAGCATCTGAGATGGACTAAGCCCATGCAGCAGCACAGGGCAGCACTGACTGGCTAGGAAGCAGCTTTGTAGAAAAGGACCCGAGGTCCTTGTGGGCAGTGAGTTGCACATGAGTCATCAGTGTGCCCTTCTGGCAAAGAAGGACATCAACATCTTGGGCTACATTAGGAGGATAGCTAGCAGTTGGAGGGAAATGATGTTTCTTTCCCACCATGTGGCACTTCTGGGTTCACATGTAGAGTGGTGTGTCCAGTTTTGGGCTCCCCAGCACAGGAAAGACATTGACATATTGGAGCAAGTCCAGTGGAGGGCCACCAGGATGATTAGTGGGCTTTCGTGGGTTTTGCATTTCATCTTACAGAGAAGTTGATCTGAAAGCAGGAATGCTTTGAATTCTGGAAGTGTTCATATCCTCTCTCCCACTGTTGCAAAGTTCATCTCAGGGTCCTCAGCATGTTTTTATAAGGATTTTCGGTCATCCAAGGCATCTCTGAAAATACTGACTTGAACAGAAGTTCATCCCTCCACAACTCCCTGAAAGGAGGGTGTAGAGAGGTGGGGGTTGGCCTCTTCTCCCAAGGGAATAATGACAGGAGCAGAGGAAATGGTCTGAAGTTGGGGCAGGGGAGGTTTAGATGAGATCTGAGGAAGAATGACTTTCCTGAGAGGGTGGTCAGGCCCTGGAAGGGCCTGCCCAGGGAGGTGGTGGAGTCACCATCCCTGGAGGGATTTCAGAAAGGTGTAGATGTGGCACTTCAGGGCATGCTCTAGTGCCCAAGATCGTTGGGTTGGGTGTTTTGTTTTGTGTTTGGGTGGAGGGTTTTTGGTGGGTGGTTTTTTTTTTTTGTGTGTGTGTGTGTGATTTTTTTTTTTTTCTCTGTGTGTGTGTGGTTGGACTCGATGATCTCAAAGGTGTTTTCCAACCACGAAGACTCTGTGATTCTGTGAACACAGATCTATGCAAGACCTGAATTGAAATGCTCTGGAACACAATTCTATGCAAGACCTGAATTGAAATGCTCTGGTTGGTCAATGAACAACTGGTATAATCTCCTTTGAGGCTTTTTAGACTTCCCCTTGATTATGATTCCATACAGCCTGTACTTCAGCATCAGACTTAACTGAATGCCGCTTGGATATTGTATCTAACTCTTCTTATCCCTATGTGGTAGACTTCTTACGAGGGCATTTAGATTGGATTATTGCAGTCTATTATTGAGGAGCCTATACTCATGTATTTTTGTTGTTGTTTTGGGGTTTTTGTTGGGTTTTTTGTTTGTTTTTTTTTCTTCCCTTTCTTGTGCATGCAAAAAGATTACTAATTTGTTTCAATACCCCTTGGACGTTAAAATTATCCTTTCTCCTTGGTTTTTCCATGTGATGGGAAACTCTTTTGCCACAGTAATATTCCCTGCTTGGGTTCTCAGTCAATCAATTCTGCCTTAAAAATCCAGAACCAGAACTCCAATAGAAAAATCTGTCTCTTTCTGGGGAGAGAGATGGAGCAGAAAATAATCTTAAGTACATTTTAAGAATCTGGTATGTCCTGTTAGTTTTTCCCCAGTCAAGTAATTAGACTTTACTGTTGGGACCCCTCCATTTTCTTCAAGTCCTTGGGATGATTACAGTCAAAACCAGCTTATTCACTGCCTTAAGCCTATAGTCAGTGTGTATTACATAGTGATTTGTGTAGTCTATCAAAAAGGACAAAGAATGGCTTGTACTGTTTGCAGCTTCCTAGGCAAGACTGAATTTTTGATACATTGTCACATTTCCTTTCTCTCTCCATCCTTTTTGTCATCTTTTCTTTCCTCCTTCAACCATTGCTCCTCTCTTTTGCTTCTCTTTGGCTGTAGTCTTCAGCATCTTTTCTGCCAATGCTAGGAGTTTCTCATGCAGAAGGGTTGCAACGTTTGAGGTATGTTTTTCTGGTTTGGTTACTGGGTCATTTGCCTTAAATTCCACTGGTCAAGTGACTGCAAGTTGGGAGGAAGGTTTGAAGTTAGAATCGTATGGAGCTGATTGCCAGCACTGCTGGATTTTTCAGTGTGTAAACATCATGGAAAGAGATTTCAGGTGAATTAAGGAGAATTTCAGCTGGGTTAAAAACTGGCTGGAGGGCCGGATCCAGAGAGTGGTGGTGAATGGAGTTAAATCCAGCTGGCGTCCAGTCACGAGTGGTGTCCCACAGGGCTCAGTACTGGGGCCAATTCTCTTTAACATCTTTATCAATGATCTGGACGAGGGGATCGAGTGCACCCTCAGTCAGTTCACAGACGACACCAAGCTGGGTGGGAGTGTTGATCTGCTGGAGGGTAGAGAGGCTCTGCAGAGAGATCTCAACAGGCTGGATGGATGGGCCGAGACCAACGGGATGAGGTTCAACAAGGCCAAGTGCCGGGTCCTGTCCTTGGGTCACAACAACCCCCTGCAGCGCTACAGGCTGGGGGCAGAGTGGCTGGAGCTGCCTGGCAGAAAAGGCCCTGGGGGTGTTGGTGGCCTGTGGGCTGAACATGAGCCAGCAGTGTGCCCAGGTGGCCAAGAAGGCCAACAGCATCCTGGCCTGTATCAGGAACAG